ATGGCTGCAACTGCAATCCGCTCTCTCCTCGCGGTGGTTGATTTATTGATTCATTTGTGCGGTGTGTGTTCTCTTGAGCTGGGTACCTTGTTCGGGGGTTGGTTTAAAGGGACGCCAACAGGAGATCTTTAGACTTTAACTGTTGGGTTGAAATTTGTGGATGTTTTTATTGAACCCACAAAAAGCTCAGACTAAACACCTTTTTGCGGAGGGGTCAGCAGCAAGCAATGAATGGGTTTCCCTATTTTCAGCCAGACCGAACCCATCCCATCCAAGGTTGGTGCGCCGCTCAGCCTCCCCGACGGTCCGGAAGGCAGGCCATGGTGTTGTTGTTTTTTGCGCCCAGGTGCTTTTGATGTTCTACTACACCTTTCTCTCTGGATACGCAGGCCGAATTGAAGCGTCGAAGCGTCGAAGCGTCGAAGCGTCGATGCGTCGAAGAAGTTTCTTGAAGTCTCAAAATATGATTCCAGGCTTGCAATGTCAACTTTCGTCCGGAGGAGTCTAGTCCTGTTGGGGAGGTGCCTCTCCTTGGAAGTTGCAGATTGGGTGGACGTGCTAAGCCGCTAGGCCAGAGTCTGTTTGAGGACATGGCATCTCGGCAGCAGAGAAAAGTTGCAGAAAGCGCTGAACAGCAGAGCCCCCCCCCCACATAATGAAGCCTTGCACATCGGAGGGTGATGCCAAAAGGGGGAGCTTTTGCACTTGGAGTCCTGTACAACGAGGGTCAGCGGGACATCCCTCTGCACGGAACCTTTCAAGAAGGACTCCGATTTTTTTACATATTTTTTCGGGGAAGAGTTGTCCAAGGACGGCGGTCCGGCAGCCTAGGTTCGAAGCCTGATCCGCCCTGTTCCCCACTGAACATGGGACACCCCAAAAGGTTCCCTCTACCAGGCTAAAGGTCTTTCAAGGCGTGTTAATTATGGAGATCTCAACCTGAGGCTTACCCCTCCCATGGAGAAACCCCGACCCCTCAAAACAGCCCGTTTTCAGGAGCTTTTGGGCAGAAAATGCCCGGGGACATATTCTCTTGTGATGACTCAATACGGTTTTACTGCACCCCACAGACATACTCGAAGTACTTCTGCGTTTCTCGAATTGATGTACCCTCTTTTGCTGGGGTGTTGTAAAAGAAGCCCAAAGAAACCAACGAATTGTAGGGGCCACCGTTTCATTCCAAACCCAAAGAAACCAACGATTTGTGGCCACCAGTTCAAGAACCCCCCCCATTCCGGCTGGTTGCACCTCTGGTTGCACCTGGTTTAGTGAGGTGCGCGCCTCGTACAACTTCGTGCTGGCCGCGCCCATCATCACCACCGGCGTCTTCGACCAGGCCGGCGACCGGGAAGGTCCAGACTGCTGCAAAACACACACCAAAGCTTGTTTTTTGGTCTGTTTAAAGGGACACCAAAAGGAACACCGCCGTGATTTTTTTGGGGGGGGGCCTGGAAAACGACACCCCCGTGTATGTGTTTTTCGTTTTTGTCTTTAACACAAGCTCCTTGCGGCTTCCCTTGACAAATCAGGATTGTTGTTCCCCCTTGTTCAATCATGGTGGACAGCCGGCTTTGAGAGGAGTGTTGTCCAAAGCCCTCCGATCGCTAACTTGTATTGTTAGACAAACGCACCCGCGCTGTGGAACCTCAAACTGGTGAAGCCCCCGACAGATCGGCGGTCTCCCCCCCTCCAATGTCCCTTTTCTCCCCCCAAGGCAGGGTCGACGGCAAAAAAACAAGGGAACGGCACATCAACAGGAATGGTCTCTTGCTTTGGTTTCCCTTTTGCGACCCAGCCACTTCACGGGTTCAAACAAAGGCCAACAGCGGACCGCAGCCTGCGGTCCGCCGCGTCGCGCGCGGAGCGAGCGCAACTCGTGTCAGGATGTCACGGAGGACCAGGTGCTGGCAGATCCCCGGCTCTACATCAGCGGCCGCGAAGGCGATCGGCTCCCGATAACCCCGAAGAGAGACACGCAGCGCACCCGAAAAACGCCGCCCCCCAAATGGGGAATGGGAATATATATATATACTATTGCACTGTTGAACGGGAGAAGATGAAAAGCACGTTTTGAGGCGGTTTTTGAGGGTTCAGGCATCGTGCTTTGCGGGGAAATATATGGTGAGGATCTCTTCCGTATCACGAAGAACTACGTATATCTTTTTCGGATCCTCAGCTGATCGCTTGCACCAAAGGACTCTGCACCGTCTTTTCGGGATGTGGGTGTGGGTCAAAAATAGGCCCTGGCGCTTTGATTTTGACCCATACTCATGCTGTCTCCCTCCAAACCCCAAGCAGCTCTGCAACAAATGGCTGTGGGTCACAGCCAATGCAATCCCATTTTCGGATAGGTGAATCACCACCCATTGTAGAACCCATGATATTTTAGTGGGGATCCCATCTGTTCACTTGGGGTAGGCCAAATCCTCCTGGACGCCCAGGCCTCGACCTCAATGCCGTGAAGCTGGCGCGCGCCTCAGATTCGACCAGAAAAGTGAGTGGCGAACCTTGCGATCTGTGCGAGAGATGCAGGGAATGAGAAATGGAATGATCACCATCCGTTGATCTATTTGCTATCAATCTATCAATCTATCTATCCATCACCTTTCGGTTTTCCCGTTTTTTGTGTCTTTTTTTAGACCAGAACCCACGGATTGGTGTGATAGGCAGGCAATGAGAAATGGAACGACCCCGATAAACACCATCCGTTGTGGTGGTCTCCTTCAAGGGAATCTGTGGGTGCATTCCATTTCGAAATTCCCTGCATCTCTCGCACCGATTGCAAGAAAAGGGCGTCCGTGAGTTTCAACGGCGGGTTTCCCTGTACCAGAACCCATTTTCCGGCATTTCAGGAACCCATGTTCCGGCATTTCCGGGCAACGCGCGGAAGCCAAAGAGCTTCCAAATGGAAATCCATGGCTATGGGTTTGGCTTTGAGTTGGACATCATTTGAGGGCATTCATGTCCGCCCACTCGCGAGGTTCCAACTCGGAATCGAATCCTACCTCTGGCCTCTGGCCTTTGTGGTTTTTTCAGCTCTTGGAGCGAGCGAATAACATGAGACCTACATAAATAGATGGTATAGGTGCATATGGACATGATTTTTTAAATAGGGAACCACCTCACAAGTGATTGGCGGACATGAACGCTGCACTCAAATGGTGTCCAATTGAACTCATAATATATTACCAGAGATAGTAGATTGCCAGGAATTGTCCCTTTAGCTTCTGAATGGTTCTCCCTGGTTAGCTGGAAGCACTGGCTGGTGCCCTTGATTTGCTAGGACCCTCAAACTGCCCAACATGGGAGGCCGGGCAAACATGGTCATGGCAGGCCTCCGGGTGAAATCGTGGATTTGCCCTGGTTCCCTCGCCTATATTGTGGTACTCCAAGTTGTGGCTTTTGGTTTCCCGCCAGAAAAGACAACCCCATCCGAAGGGATGGCATGGCAGTCAAGTTAGCTGCAAGTTGAGGGGCATTCGGCTAGCCCAAAGCCTAAATGGGCTTCAGGTCGAAATGCTGCTGTCCGCAGCGGTGCACTCTTGCGTGATCGGATATGCGTGGGTCTCAGGATATTAGAGCGCGGTTTCCCCGCGCGAGCTGCAGTTGTGCGTCTTAGGTCATGCTTTTGGTGTAGGATAGATCGCAACCGATTACCTGCAAGTTGCATTTGTGCATCTCAGGTCATGCTTTTGGTGTTTCGGGACATGTCCATTCTGGACGCCGGCGACTTTTATACTTTTGGCACCACCGCAACTTGGCTTCTGGATCCAGCGCTTCACACCAAGCCAGGTTGCTGCACTTCGCAGCCGAGTTGCGCTCAGAATTACTGATCTATCGTCCATGTGGGAGGGACGAGGGGAACAAGCTTTGCATCAACAACAACAACCACAACAACTCATTTCCCACGTTTTGTTGGGACACATTCGTAATTTTGGCCGCGCCGAGGTATTTTCCGTCTTGGTGATTTCCATGAACTACCGAGCAGCTTTTGTGACGAGGACCGAGCGGGTGAGTCATGTGTCTCAAAGCCCTGCCCAAAATGTTGCTCTGTTTTCGTCTACTTGGTGGCCAAAGCTCCGAAAGGAAACCCAACACGACAAAAACCCGCACGCCCAGTTTTGTTGCTCTGTTTTCGTCCACTTGGTGGCCAAAGCTCCGAAAGGAAACCCAACCCGACAAAAACCCGCACGCCCAGTTTTGTTGCTCTGTTTTCGTCTACTTGGTGGCCCCCTAAAAAATCCGAAAGGAAACCCAACTCTGACAAGAACCCGCAGGCCCGGTTTTTGGCATTGATCTCTCGCACGGGGCGCATCGGACTCCAGGACCTGGAATTGGGTCACCATCGCGGGCCAAGCCTTCTCCTTCCTGATCTACGTGCGGCTCAGCGAGAAACAAGTCCAATTCCCACAGCTGTTCGCTTGTCAAAGCCAGGGGAAAGCAAAATCGGGGTAGCGAGGCCTATACAAACCTTTACAATCATGCTAGAAGAGCCAAACATTTGCGGGTTTCGGGCGCTGCTTCAGTTAGTGAACGATTCGTGAATTGTGTGTCTCCCTTTGGTTGCCAAATCAACTCTTTCGCCTGTTGGGTTGGTGTTGAAGTTGAAGGGTAAAAAGTGTATAAGGGTGTGCGTGTGCGTGTTTTTCCTGGTACCCTTTTTGGGGTTGGTTTGAAAGGAAGCCAAAAGGACACCATTATTTGTTGGCCCCTTTTTTGGCCATGGATGTTTTGGCATTTTGGCAGCTAAGGGTGTTCCTGGTGGTCTACAGCGACGTCAGATGGTTCTCGGATCATTTCCAGCGCCTCGACAAAATCAGATCTGCTAATGGGGAGCTCACCTCGCTCGAGCCATGAAAAAACGGTCCTTTGCCTGAGGATCCAAGTCTTAGTTCAGCTTTTGGAATTCTTCCTGGATCGCCAGTTTCTATTTTGTCCCATCCACTTTACCATACAAAAACCAACAACAGTGACTCAACTTTGGCTATCTAGGTGGTTTACCAGTCGTTTGACCTGTTCTCACACAAATGGATCTCCCCACCCCCCCCCCCCCCGATCAGCTGGGCCGCCAACTCTATTTGCCCAGCACTGCACCTTTCAGGCCCTGGATGGCCGGCGCAGGGGCCCCAGTGTGGGGTGCTCAGCGCAGAAAGGCGCAAGAGGTGTCTGATGTGGAGGCTCAAAATGCTTCCACTGAGGAAGCCGGTGTGCTTCTGGTGCAAAAGGTTGTCAACCCCCCACCATGGTTCTTGGGACACATCTTATAGTTTTGCTTGTTGTGGTTTTTAGTGGTCAAAATCGAGCTCAAAATCCAACCACTGAACTGCTAAAATTTAGAATGTTTGCTCCCCTTCCAAAGTCAACCAAGCCACAATATGCTTTTGCTCTGAGGACGCAGGCTCCTGCCCTTAGGGCACAACTAGGGGGGAAACGAACAAACACTTACCCTCCCTCCTTGAGGAAAGGACTTCCATGAACTTCCAACGTGTCAAACTGGGAATTTGGACCCCCACAGACAAAAGGGCTTTGGTCCGTGTCGCTTCCCTGCGAAAGGGTGCCGGGCCTCCAAAACAACACACAGCCTCTATCCAATGACTTGGGGCCTCGGGATGCGGCCCTGTAAGCAACTTCTGAAACGTCGCACGAGGAAATGGCCATGCCTCCATGCCTTGCCTGCCCCGCATGCCAAGCGGGCCCCGTTCAAGTCTTTGCCAAACAGGCGGTGTGATTGTGAGGAAGGGGTGTTCTGTTTCAGGATGCGAATCGGGCTCTCGGGGAGCGGCACGAAGAAGGTTTTGGTGTTTTGTCTCAACATGAGAAGACCTCGCCCCCCGAAACGATGGGTGGTGTTCTATGAACGTCAACAAAAGGTACCCTGAAAATAGAACGTCCATTTCAGGTGCATGGCTGCTTCCAGCAAAAAGGAACATCAGTGCACTAGTCCCTTGAGAACTGTGCGTCCTTTTGTTTTCAATTAGTTCCACTGTGTCGATAAGCGATGCACTAGACTGAGTCTATATTTTGAGGATTTGAAAATACCCCCGAAAGGAGGTTTCTCGAAATGGGTTCAGACCCTTTTCTGGTTGGTTAAAGGGAAACCAAGGGAATCAATCCCACTTCGGCCCCCTTTTGAGAAGCCGCAAATTCCCTCTTTTGCTTCCGTTGCCTTGGCCTCAAGGGCGAGGCTAGCTTTTTACAAGTGTCACAGGAGCCGCCCTCAAACATGCTTTCCAGAAATGTGGGTCGGCATTTCTGGGGAGAGGGTGTTTTGCTTCCGCTCGGGGCCGCCAAACACCGTGTTTGTTTGGCCCTGTGTTTTTCCTACTGGTGCACTTGCTACCATACGGTTGTAAGTGAATCCAAGAGGGTCCCACTTGTTTGAGGTTCCCTCTATTCTCCCACGTGCCCATTTGGAGTTTTCCGTGCGGATGGTGGATCGAAGAACCATTTCGCGTGCACGCGAGGTGCCGCTGCGCATGGTGAGCAACCCCTACTTCTGGACTGAGCTGTTCGAAAGGTCGAAAATTGGGGTTCATTTAATACAGGATCCGTAAGCAAGAGTGGTATGGGTCAAAATTAAACCATGGACCGCAGCCATTTTGGTTGTAGTCCAAGTTTCCATTTACCGATCGGGCAACCCATTTTGGGGTTGCCATATTTTTGACCCACCCGGTTTGTTTCCTTTGGCTTCCCATTTCGACCCACCCAAAAACAGGGTGGACCCAAAATATTTGAGCGATGCCAGTGGTGAAAGGGACAGCCAAGTTGCGGGAAGCTTCGGTCGGTCGGCGCTTCGGTCGGTCGGCGCTTCGGTCGGTCGCAGATGATTCGCAGCTGGTGGAGACTTGTTGGGCGGACGAACGAACAGCTCAGGTGGTCAAGAAGGATCGGGTAAACGCGATCCATTTTAGTCTGTTTTAGTGGGGATTGGGATGTTCACTGGGGGTACGATTTGGGTTTTGACTCAGGTCCATATGACCAAAGCCCACCTTCGGGGAGGTTGGATATGACGGATGGCCACCCTCCTGACGCATGTCCTTGCGGGTTTGAGACTGGCAGCAGTCTCGTTTTATATCTTTTGCAGTCTGGGGACCCGGGTTACTGAAAAGCAGGCAGGGGGCGTGTGGGCGGCATTATTGCCCTTTGCTTCTGGCCGCCGGCAGGTCGCAACAGAGTTTCTCAGAAGGGGGCCACGCCAAAGGTGCCATCAAAGGTGCCAGGGAACACGTACTAACCTTGGTTTGGGTCAAAAAAATCCGGGGGCCCTTGGCATCCCTTGGAAAAGGCCCCACGGCCATGACCATCGCCCCCCACATACCGCACTCGCAGGATTTGCGCCATTACTCTTCCAGCCCTGGCCATGGTGATCGACGTCTTCAAGGCGAGCAGAAGTTGGAGGAGACCCTTTTCGTTAGTTTCAAGGAACGCCACGTGGCCACCTTTGCCACGTCCAGAGCTGACTCTGAAGGGTTGCAGAAGGTGACTAGTGAGAGCTTGATATCTCGGGCCGTGCAGGGCCGTTGGCCTGTTTGTCTGTGGCTCTTGCGAGTGAGTCGGCTTTTTTCCCTTTGGCTTCGAATTTTGGCTTCGAACTGTGGGCAGAACTGCCGCGGCTCCAAGAGGGCTCGGGCCTGTCTCAAAGGATACGGGTTGGCTCCAGCCGCCCCGCTGGTTTTTGGTTCGCAGTTCCGCCATTTGGTTCCCTGAGCCTCAACTGGCCTAAGTAGACCAAAACTCGGCATGTTTCCAGGACCAAAAGGACCCGCTTGGATTTTGGCATAGGCGCACCTCTTGAGCGAGTTCTATCCAGACCGCTGAGCTCCCAGGGACCGCAAGGGACCATTATAATTATACATATATATACATATATATATATATATATACACATGTTGTATATGTATATGGATAGGTATACATATATATATATACATGTATTTGTTTGAGGGTAGCCTTTCGAAGATTTCAGGTAACCCTCAGTTGGTGGTTTGGATTGGTTTGGGGGTTGCAGTCCTTTGGACACCTGGTGAAGGTATCTTCCTTGCGTCCAAACCACCAAGAAGGAGAATCGACACATATCCATTGGGGAGCAATTCACCTGAGCGTCGTCCAAAACCCCATGTTTTTTTTTTTTTAAGCATCCGAAGGACATGTCTGATTGATGCACGAAAGGGCGGAGGCCAAGCGCGGCGAAAGATTGGCGAAAGGTCATGGATTATGTTGGTTGGGGTGGATGTTGTTTGTTCACGCGTTACACAAATCGAATCCGAACCGAAAATCTGAGACAGGCTTGCAAAGGTTAAAGCGACAGCGAAAGCGACGCGAAAGACGAGCCTGTCCAGCCCACCCGCTGCCCAGCGAGAGCTGCCCAAGCGAGTGTCACTCTGGGTCTTAGTGGCGGATGGACGAAATCCATTTTGCACCACTTTGAAACCATATGGGAAACCACTGTTTGTTGGTATGTACGCGGGGGTCATCAATCTTAGGCGGTGCGAACGGATTTCGCGACCATCCACAGTATGATGTCTCTTGTGGGTTGCCCTCATAGGCTGGTTTCGAAACACCTAAAAGAAAACACATAGATGGCCAACTCATTGAATTCCTGTGAGGGAGAAAGGCAGCGAAAGGTCCACGAAAGCGCGGCGAAAGAACCTTCTTGGGGAACTTTACTTTTGGACAATCCCCACCTGTTCTTGGACGCTGTCTAGGTTGTTTCGTGCCCCAACACTTCGTTTGCTACTTGCTCTTAAGGAATCGGCATTTGGCTTTCTCCTGGATGCAGATGGAGCCGTTTTTGGTTCCCTTTAGATGTTTTCTTTCTGGAGGATTTCCAGAAACTGCCAGGCAACGACCGCAAGACCTGCGTCCGATCCGAAAATGTCCCTCTCGCTTCCTGAGCCGCGCCTTAGGCTCTGAAGTGGTCCTTGAGCAGGCCAAGCTGAAAGCTTCGGCCGCCCGCGCCCCAAAGAGCCGCCGAAAGCCGCACTGAGCGCCTGAGCTGAGAGCTTGGGAAACTTGGTGGAGCCAGCCATCCGGTTCCTTCCTGGCTAGCCAAGTTGCGATCGCTCTTTTCAGTCACTGTTGCGATCGGTTTTTGTATGGTAAAGTGGATGCAAAGAAGCGAAAAAGCAACTGGATCGATCCAGGTTCGCCTTTTGGCATCAAGAAGTGTTCAGTGGTAGTTTTTTTTCTCCGTATTTCACCCACGAAAAGTTAGCTCCACTTTTCGCCGGGGGGCATCTGAAAACGGGCTCGGGGTCTGGCTTCAAGAAGGGGAGCACGATGCTTGGAGTTGTGAAGCCTGCCATAAAGGACAAATTTCCGCAAAAACGAAAGACATTAAACAAACAAACACGCCGATGAGCACGTAAACTCTATGCTCTCTTTTGCCGAGTTCGACGGTCGCAGACAATTTCATCCGAATTCATTTCGCCCGTTGCCGGTCGCGCCTGATCGGCCGCAGGAGAGTTGTGCAATGCACGATTTTTCAAGAGTTGAACTGCCAACCTATGGTCATTTGGTGATATCCGAGAGTTGGAGCTATAGCTGAAAAATGCTACATGAAACTCCCACATGAAACTCCCACATATATTTCGATGCATGCAGGCGAATATCTTAGTAAGGTCGCCGATTCGGGGATGAACCGCTCATTTCCACCGATGATAAGATTCCTTGTTTCCGATTTGGGGTTTCAAATAATTGTGATCCACCATTCGATTTCCCTTGATTTCCAACCCAAAAAGAACCAACCCAAAACGGCAAACGGCTCAAAGAAGTGAGTGACGCCCAGGCGGGGCTCGAAGAGTTGCAGTGGGACTCGGAGGTCGGGGCGCAGGGCGTTTTGATCCTCTGCGCGTTTTGATCCTCTGGGCGTTTTGATCCTCTGGTCGGGGCGCAGGAGTTTGCATGGTCTTTGGTGTGACTGGCCGGCCCAAAGGATCCTCTGGTGTGACTGGGCATGGATCAAAGTTTAACGATCGGAGGGGGCAAACCGCAGGTTTTGGTACCCATGTTTCCACTTAAGGCAACCCATTTTGGGTACCGGGTTTTTGCGCCACACCCAACAAACGGCTCTAGGTAGCAGCACATGAAGTGACGAAAAGGATTCTCGTGAACAGCTGGTTATGTTTTGTCATGGGAGCATCCTAACGTGATGGTTGCATGACGGTCGAACAAACGGGGTGGCTGTAAAGGAAAGCAAAAGGCACCTTAAGGAGTTGATTTCTTTGAGAAACACCCAACTCAACCCATGTAAATGATGTCGCTTTTGCCAGCTGCGTGTTGCTTAGACTCCTGCGATGCCTCTGGACACCGTTCCTTTTGGCAGGGATGGCCCTAATTAACACATCCACCTCTTCCAAACCACCCCAGGATACCATCGGGGAAAGACCCTCAGTTGATGGTTCTATGATGTTTGTTCAAATCTCCAACCTCGTGGTTTGCAGCTACACATCCTCTTTGCGTTGTTTGTCCCGGGCGGAAAAAACATCGGCAGGAAGCTGACCGGGCTGCCACCCTCCACAGGACGTCACCGTGGTACCGTCTCGAACCTGGCACCGACTTGAGAGGGGTTTTCAGGGTGGTTTTAAGGAGATCTCAGGCAATTGGAGGTGAGTTATGTGAGTTCTTATTGGGGTGAATCTAGCTAGAGGAAGCTTGGACTCGGCCAATGTTTAACCTTTTGTTTGGTGCCTTTGCTTGTCCCACTCGGGACGCTAGCAATTCCTCAACAAGTCCTTGTTTTGGGGCTGGCTTCTGTGATAAAAGGGAAAGCAAAGGGAACCTACTCAGCCGCCAACCATTTTAGGACCATGGGTTGGTTGGTTTTGTCGCCCCGTTTTGGATGGCCCAAATAGTTCACCCCAAAGAGGAGACCCCCCCAAGAAGGCACCGAAACCCCAGGAAGAGTTGCGTCCATCTTGAGTCACCTCCAGTGATATTGTGGGGGGCTCGTGTGCCCCATGTCATCCCACCCTTACGTGGTTTGGATTGCTGCTTTTTGTTGAACCTCAGTTCCTTTTGGGGCGAAATGGGTGTTCTCGTCTCCAGGTAGGTCAGTTTCCTTTTTGGCTTCCTATTGAAACCATCCAACAAAACGGTAGAGAAGCCCCCAAATGGGGAAGGTCGCTCCCCAACCTCCGAATTGATGTTGTTGCAGACGGCACGGCTTGCGCAAGCGCCAGCGCCAGCGCGCAGGAATGGCTCGGTGGCGAGCCGAATGCAGGGCCCTCATTCGGCAACAGGGTCTTCGAAATCCACCATGGCCCAGAATTCCCGGTGGGAACATTTGCAAGTTGGCAAACTGTTTTTTTTTGCCTTCCGAATCCGAAGAATCATGGACACACACACACACGGGCTTTGGAACTGGCATGAGTGAAAAAAAACAACTCTGCAATTTCCATGGATTTCCCGCCCACGCTGCAATCATGAGTGAAAAAATGCAACTCCATGAGTGAAAAAGCCCCACGCTCCATGAGTGCAAAAGAAACTCTGCAATTTCCCATACGTGGTTGGAAACTCCTCCTGGGCGGTTCGGCTCAAAGCCTTTGGGTCTCTGGGGACCCGGCTTCCGGCTTCAGGTCTGGCTACGACTTTGCTCACCCGGGAGGTGAACCCAGGCGCATTCCGAAGCTTGAAGGATTTCCCGAAGCTTCGGCTTCCCCCAAAATGGCGGTTCCCTTTCAGTTTGCCTGCGGTTTCCTTAGGGATTCCCCCACTGCCTCAAACCGGGTGGTTTTACAGCAAGAGTAGCAACCTCCCCAACAACCTCCCCAAAAACCCCCCGCCCTCCCCCCAAACCCCGCCCCAAAACCTCCCCCCCCCCCCTCCCCCAAAAAAAACAAACCCGTCCGGGAGTGCTCAGCGGAAGGCTCAAGGCGTTTGCCGCAGGCAGCAGGCGAACTTCTACAACTCCCACCCCACGGCCGGCGATGTCTCGATGATCGAGACCGCCCGCGGCTCGGATCGATCCGCTCCGCAAGCCGCCCAGTTGTTTTGCGTTTTTTTTTCTCCACGCGAGCCACGGGTCAAAACGCCGGGTAGATGAAAATTCGTTGGGGGCAGTCCCAGCCAAAGAAAGAGTTGCGGATATCCGCCTTTCTAATTCTTTACATTCTGGGGTTCACCATGTGTGTACCAGGTCTTGATTGCGGCTCGCACGTGGCGGTTGGTTTCCAAAACCCACCAAAGCGCAACCAAGCATGAAACAGCTTGCTTTGGCATGACTTGGGTATTGCCCAAGTGCAACTTGCGCAACAACATCCATTTGTCGTGTTGGTTTCGGGAGGAAGGTGTCCTCTAAAAAATTCAGCTAGTCTGCCTGTGTCACATGCGGCTCCCTTTTTTCCTTTTCGGGTTCCGGATGCGGCTCCTTTTTTGGGGACCCGCATCTTTGGTGTGCCTTGCGGTTTTCCTTTAAACCGCCAGAGGGTAGCCTCAAAACCAGATCCCGCGAAGCGGTCGAGCACGGTTCCCGAGCCCAACATGCCGGGACGATGGGGGTCCCTGAGCGTCACATGGCAAGATTTACGTTTTTTTTTTGGGGTCGCTGCAAAAAAAACGAAAAGGCACACAGGATTTTCTCGGGTTTTAATGTTTGAGACACACGCGGAGTCGTTTCCCCGGAGCAAAACGACGAGATCTGACCAAAAGGATGTCCCGCTGGACTTGGATCTGCAAGCCAGCCAGCCAGCAAGCAGGAACGCACGCAGGCTGAAACCCGCTCGAAACGAAGCCGAAACCAACCCTAAACCCACCCTGAACAAAATCCTAATCTCTCACAAACCAACCCTAGACCACCCTAAACCACTCTAAACCCACCTTAATTCTGAGCTAAGACAAACCCTACATGCATTGAACCCCAAAACCACCTAGTCCCATGCTAAACCCACCCCAAACCAGCCGAGCAACTGCCTTGAACCTAACCCCACCCTAAACCCACCCTACATCCACTCTAAGCCAACCCAACCCTGAACTACCCTCGGGGGCGAGGTTTTCGCCGTGTCTCGCAAGACACAGCAAGGTGTGCGAAGCCTGGGTAAGCCAAGTGAAGTTCCATGCGCAAACCATCCCCGCTCCCCGCTCCCCGCTCCCCGCTCCCCCTGCCCTCCCGGTTGCGCGCAAGAAGCAGCGCCTTTTCGCGTTTCGACGAAAGAAGCAGGGTAGCCCCACCAAAGAGTCGCGCGGACTTGGACACCGCTTGCAATGTGTGCGCTGTGCTCAACCTCTCTTTGTCAGGGGAGCCTGCGCTTTTGGGAAAACCAAGTTTCTTTGCTACGGCGCGGAATAAAGCGCCCTTTGGAAGACCTAGGTTTTTGAGTTGAACGCCTTGCTTAGTTCTACGACAGGCTCCGTTAAACGGCAAGCTATTGCCCCCAAACAAACAAATGTGACGTACACACAATGGTCATTGGCTTCAAGAGTTCACACACATGTTGTTTTCTAGTCCGTTGCTAATGAGCGTGTCTTTTCTTGAGGGCTTCCTTGGAGCTGACTTGGGGAAATTGCTCTCTTCTGGGCGACTCTTCGACGATCAGGCGGAAGCAGAGAAAGAGCAAGCAAGAAAGAAAGAAAGAAAGAAAGAAAAGGAAGAACATAAAGAAAGAAAGCAAGAAAGAGAAAGAAAGAAAAGGAATAAAAGAAAGAAAGAAAGAAAGAAAGAAAAGAAAGAAAATAAAGAAAAGAAAGAAAAAAGAAAAAGAAGGAAAGAAAGAAAGACAACATAACCTATCCGTACTAATCTCCATTTCTAGATGAAGAGCACACTTTTGCTTATGGGCTCGCATGCTGGGGTGACACACGGAGACTTGTGTGCATCAATGAGCTGAGCCACGCACGCTGACAGCAACCTGAATGAAGCTTTGTTTTTGAAGGTTTGTTCCCCCAATAAGTCCCGTTGGCAGCTGCGTTTCGAATCACTCGCGCCTACACGCTTGCGTGCAGGCAACGCTGGCAAGCAGCAGGCTCTGGTCATCCGCAGCGCGTCGACCTGCCCTGCCCCAACGCGCTTCATCTGCCCACCGCCGGCCAGCCCGCTTGTCCATTCCAGCACCCGCTCAAAGCCACGCCTGTGCAAAACTTGCACATGTGCGAATGTTAAACACATCCGTACCTACTTATCATCATCACATTGTCTTCGCGCACAACTGTGTAACCCACATGCAGCTACGCGCATGGCTCACATAGATTCTTGCTGACCTCTTCCTGGAGGAAGTGAGTCCGTCGCCCAGCGCTGCTGCTTGATCAAGCAGTGCAACTCTTTAGCGCGAGCTTGTTCGCTCTTTCCCGGCGCCAAACTGGCCAAGCTGGCCAAGCTGGCGGAACTGCTGGATCGTGGTGGGCGCCATCTGCAAAAAACGGACTTTGAAGTGCAAGTGTAGGATGTCAAGCTGCCTGCGCAGCTAGCATGGACCAACGTCGATCCCTTTTTGGGACCTCCTGAGGCGCTGAAGCTGATCAGCTCGCAAATCCTGATGTCGCGTTTGCTGTGCTTCTGCACCCCTAGCGTCGCGTCTCAGCACGTGGGGCTGCGCGATGTGTCATCCAACCCGTAGCGCGGTTGCCAAAAGCCTGCCTTAAGCCGGCGCGCCCTAAACGCACCCTAATAAACGCCGCCTAAAAACAACCCTAGGCGTTCCCTAAACGTATCCCCCAACCCTACGTGTCCCCAGCTTGCCCCTAAACCCCCACGCCCAAACCCACCCTAAGCACACCATAATCCCACAAGCCCACCGCAAACCCACTCCAAGCCCGCCCCAAAACCACCAGAGAATCCACGCTCAAAGGCACTCAATCCTCGGATTGGGACCAGCCCATGAACTTTTGTGCCTTCAATTATCGAGCCAAGTCCCATGGTGAGAGAATCGCACGGCATGGAAGCGTGCACGGGAGAGCTGGGATCTTGCAATTGTACACGTTGCTTAAATTACCTCCTGCGGTTTTTCCCAGGTTCTCAGACCATCTCAGACCATCGGCTGCTATTTCCCCACTATCGCCAGCAACACGTTTCTCGCCACCCGGAAACCGCAACCCCCAAACCGCCGGCGCGCGGAAGGGCATGGGGTGCGCAACCGCCAATCTACCAATATCAGCAAGAAATTGTCGAAGTCCGGTAACTTCCGACATGGCTGCAGGCCTCCGGCTCGCAGATGGACAGGCGCGCTCCGGTGTCCTCATTTTGTTTTGACCGGGGAGCCAAAGGAAGCCAACAAAGAAACCTCCAGCTGTGCGCACCATGCTCCTCTTTTTGTTTTCCCGGGATTTCCGAAGATGGTCAACCCCAAGACAGGTTCTCTTTTCATGAAAGTTAGTGATGCTAGCATTGAGTTCTCCTTGAATTAGTAAGTTAGGGGGCTGGGCCAGCTTCTGGGAGTGGGGGGGAGTACTGATTTGGATTGGTTCCGACCAATTCTTTGCCTTCAGGAATGCCAGCATAAGAGTCAGCCAGCTTTCTGGGCGGTTCATTGTCACTCGCACATGTCTTTGGCTAGCTTCCGCGGACCCGAGGGTACGGAGCTGTAAAACACAGGAAGCAATTTTTGGATTGCAACCCCGTGAACATGTTGAGATATGAACCATCAGCCAAAGCGTTCCCAAGTCAATTTGACCTACAAACCCAAAGATCCAGCTGACACTAAAGGTACCCACCTGGTACCCTGGTGCCCTGGCTACCCACCCATAGGCCTGGTACCTTGGATCTTTGCCCCTTACCCACTGCCAAGGGCCGACGGCAACCCCAGAGTGCCCTGGGTCCGGCCAGGAGTCAGTCCCTGCGGCGCGAGGCTCCCGAACTCCGGTCGAGCGCCGCGGAAATCGATGAAGCCTGGACTTCGCAAGTCGAAATGGAGCTCAAAAAGCCCCCTCTCCCCAAAAAAAAACCTAAATAAATGGGGTCGTCATTTTGACTTCGGGCGATGAAAGTCGGCAATTGGTGGGATGTGCCCCTTCAAAGTTTCACCTATCACTTCGGGGGATGACTTTCATGACAATGGGGCCGGCGACATGGGGCCAAGGGAGCTCTGGGTTTGCGCTCACGGGTTTTGGAGGGGCCCATGGCTGGTGAAGCGATGGTCCGTTCCCGGTGACGAGATTTGGGTTTGGAGGTGGGACACCTGACGCAGGCAGCCCAGTTGCAGTGGGTTGCTTCCCTGGGAAGGCTTCCGATTCTTTTAAAGTCAACCAACCAAAAAAAGGATGCCCTTTTTCTTCCCATGGTTACTGGGCATGTGAGGCAATGCTCGCATTTCAGTGGGTCAATGGTTGCCTACGCTTGTCATAGAATGGCTTTGCCTACAAATGGGGTACGGATTGCACACAGACACACACACACACACACATTCCCAAAGGTGGCGACTATGTTTGGAAGGCAGTTGTAAAATCATTCGAGCGGATTGCTGAAATGTCAGTGTCCAATGGCTGCGCAATGTCTCAGCCCCACGTTCAGGATCAGATCTCAGATGAGGACTGCCAGCTCGGATACTGCGATCGGCAAGGGGTCCTTTGCGCTGTTCCAACAATCATGGATGGAAGCTGGCAGAAGACTTGCAAAGCCCCACTGTCTACTTCCACGACTGTTGGACAGGGGTTAGGAATGTTGGTGCAAAATGACAGTTTTCCGGGCATGATTGTGGAGCATCACTCCTGCAGATCAACATGGATTCCCTCCTTTTTTGCAATCACGTCAGCCACTTTGAAAATGCCAGGAGTCGGATTCCAGCGAGGGCGTGCCGGCCTCGATCGAAATTGGTGGGTGGAGCCCTTTTGGATGGAGAAAAAGCGGCATGAACGGCCCCTGCCGTTCGCCCCTTCCAATCTGCAGTGGGAAAGTTGATACGACTGAAAGGGAATCGTGCCATTTGCGTTCACCCTGGTTTCAAGTCGCTCTAGCAAAGCACACGGAAGCAAGCGACGAAATCGAGGCTCGCTCGAATTATCCAGACAGCGGCGGCCTCTGCTGGGCAAGTTGAGATGGTGTCCCTTTCGACCCACTCAAAAATGGGATCCCCCCGCCCTGCAAAGAAAGACACATCCATGAGTGCAGTTTTGTTTGAGTCTATCCTTTGGCGAGAAACCGACAAAAGCCGCAAGTGTTGGGTTCCCATGCGAGACGCCGTCGCCAGTGCCTGAGGTTCTCGCTTCGCCCAGCAGAAAATGGCCCACATCCAGGTGGAGTGGACTGGCTGCAAGGCGGATCGATCGGCGCGAGGGGGTGGCTAAAAACGGCGAGGGTTTGAGGGGTGGTTGCTCAAAAACAAAAACAAAAACGGTTTGAGAGTTTCAGGCTAAACGGTGGTTGTTCAAGATTACATTAGGGCGTGCTTTTGCTAAAGAAGAGGGGCATTTTGCTAGGGGTTGATTCCGTTTCCATTCTTTTCAGCCATCGTTCTTTTATCAAAAACCGATCGCCATTTCCCAAGAGTTTTATTGGTGGTTTTCTAGAAAGATCCGGATCCCTGGAAAGAATGGCGAAGTTATCCCTAGAGTTAGGGCGTGCTTTCGCTAAAGAAGAGGGGCATTTTGAGGATGTCGGGTTGGACAAGAGAGCAGTCATGCACATGGGAGAACAGGCGAAGGCGCGTTTCCTTGAGGCAAGGAGACTGAGGGGTACAGAGGAACATGAGGGAAACATTTGCTGGCATGACATGCGCCGGAGAATCCGGAGCAACGACGAAGTGGCACAGTCCAGCGCTTGTCCAGTTCGAGGTAACTGGGGCACCTTGCTGAATACACTCAACCGTTGCCAGACTTGATCAACTGTTTGCACTTTTGCCCGTTTAGATTTTCTTCTTGGCCAGCCGCAACTTAGCTTTTTGCCGGGAGTCTAAGTCTGGCCGAAGGCAATGAGTGTTTCTTGTCACGGCGAAGCCGAATGGTCAACATGGAATGCACTGCCCATTGTGTGCTATAGCTAACTGTTGCGCTCGCTTACTGTACTTGCTCGGCGTTTGCGGCGTTCAGGTTTCCTGTAGATCATGTGTTTGTGTGAGTGTGAGAGAGAAAGAGCGAGTGTGGGTGTGTGTTTGTTGGTTTGTTGGGTTGTTTGTTTGTTTGTGTTGTTTGTTTGCTTCTTTGTTTGTGTTGTTTGTGTGTTTGTGGTTTATTTTGTTGGGTTGTTTGTTTGCTTGCTTGCTTGCTTGCTTGCTTGCTTGCTTGCTTGCTTGCTTGCTTGCTTGCGTGTTTGCTTGTTTGTTTGTTCGTGTGTTTGTGTGTTCGTTTGTTTGTGTTTGTTTGTGTGTGCGCATGCTTCTTCTTGGACCAGCGCACCCAAATGCATTCTCAGATGCGTGTGCGTGTATTTACCAACCTGTTTGTGGTTTCGCGCATTCGAGTTGGTTTCCATGCGTGTGCGCGAGGCGTATAGGTGAGATCTGCGCGTGCGCGTACCAGACTGATTTCACACTCTCACATTTGCCTTTGCCCAGCCGTCCAGCCATGTTCATTTCGCTGCACCGCCTCGTCATGCTTGCGCGCTTGTCAACTGAGCTTTGCAGCGCCTTCCGCTGCGCACCGCACAAGTGGCAGCAATGCAGCGAGCGTTCTTGTTCAGTGGAACTTATGGCTACCAACTTGTTCAGTGTGAGCCCAAGGGTGGGAAGGTTTTTTGGGGTTGGGGGCTTCTTTCTCTCAAGGAAACATGAAGCAAACTCTTTGGACAAGTCCCATGAGTTGCTCAATCAGGGGATTGTCTTTCTTTGCTTGACCCTTTGGCGTCCCCCTTTGAACGGAAAACACGGGGGTACCGGGGTCCACACATACGGACCTTTCTTTTTGTACAACCGTACCACGGAGAGGGGGGAGGGGGAGGGGTCTTATTGGGGTTTCAAAGATTCCAACAGGAAACCGAAGGACCATTTCTTGGGTCCCCTTATGTTGACGCATACCCATTGTCCATTATTCTCAAGGGTTTGCTTGAGGTCGTCCTTAGCTCGGTCGCAGGATTGTCATCCGCGTCGATGTCAGAACCCATTCAGGTGACCCCTAGGGTGTTCCGCTAAAGCCACGAGCAAAAGGTACCTAGTCCAAAAAAAGAGAGGCCCAGATGCTGCTGGGACATGGGCATTTTTCGCATCCCTCTTTGCCATTGCTTGGACTTTCGGCACGGTCTGCGAGGTGATGATGGCCTCCTGCTTGGTGGGGGTGCTGCTGTTCTGCCTGGGGGCGCTGGTGCGCGGACTCGGCAGCACGGCAAACGAGGCGAGGTAGCTGCGGTTCGGCGCTCGCTGAAACTCTCGGGCTGAGTGCTTTTGGAGGCTTGCCGCTTTTTGGCCGCTGTCAACCTCCATTCTTGGTGGCTCCCAGCCGTCCCCTTGGCTTTTCAGCTTTTTGGAGGACAGCTCAGCATTTGCTTAAGAATATGTTGGATTTTCCCTTGTTGGTTTTGAAAGGACATCATCACTACTGGACATATTTTTTCCGGGGGCCTCAACCAAATGGAAGTCAAGGGAACCAAAAGGAGGCCGGCCATTTTGTTTGGAGGGTCCGGAGATATGAACCTTGACCAGCACTTGGAGGCCCGCGCCTTTTCGGGTAAGAACCCTGGTAGGAAAATTCGCCCCCAAGGGGGGCGTTGAGGGTAGAAAACCGAAAAAAGAGCCAAAGGCAAGCGGGTATGCGGAAAAAAAAGAAGAAACAAAAAAGGGAAAAAAACACAGGGGGAGAAAAAAGGGCATGGGGGTGTTGTACTGTAGGCCATGCGTGTTTTGTTTTTTGGGTGGGACTCCCCGAGCAGTGGGTTTCCACCAACTTCGAGGGTCAGAGGACGCCCGCTTGAGGTCCTTCAGCCCACCGCTCTTCGGGTTTTTGACAGGGCCCGAACTTCCGGAAGCACCCGAACAAAAAAATTGCCAACCACCTGCGGCCTGGAATCTTATCTCTAAATTTGAGAAAAACAAAAATCCAAAAAAGCCTGAGGGGAGAGTGACCTGAGGGGAGCAAATGTTGGACAGAAGCCCGCATAAGCCACAATTGCGGATATCTCTGCACTGATTCTTCATTGGGTATTGTTTTGTAACGCCAGGGTGTGTGTGTGTGTGTATTCCCAATAGTCAAGCCGCACGACGCTCGCCCGTGGATTTGTCTATGGCAAGCATCTTGTGTCGCATGCATCTGACGTCTTTGACTGGCTGAGACCAAGATGTTCGACGGGTGTCATTTGTCAATGCTTGACATGGAAAGCAAGTGAAATACATGGGGTCTGTCTCAAAAAACGGCACCGAACCCCCCCAAGCTGGGTGTTCTCCTTTTGGTTTCCCTTTGAAGCCACAAAAACCGGGGGGGCCCTAAAAAATGACGAGCCACTCCCGGAGCTTCACAAGGGGCATGTCCTTAAAATGTCGTTCGCCGTTCGCCAGAACAGGGGGGGTTTGGGGGGGGGTTGGGTTGTGGGGCCTCGAGAAACGGGGAGGTCCGATGGGAAGCTGGGGCCAACTCGCTTCGGCTTCCATGCGAGGTCGAAAGTGTCGAAGGATGGCTGTGGGAAATGTAATCCACGAATCTGTGATACAACAACAGGGTCTCCCAAAGACCACCCCCATTTAAGCAGGAGTCGATTCCCGAAGCTATCACAGAAGTTGGAGAAACCCCGAGTGATCAACCACAACCCTGGTGTCGAAGGATGGACCCAAAAGGGAAGCTGAGAGCTCACCATCCCAAGATACCACGCTTTGGCCGAACTCTCCAGTTTTTTTGTTTTTTTTGTTTGCCCCCCTGCCACTTTTGGCTTGCAAAAGGTTGCAGCTTTGCTTTGGGTAGTGGTCGATCGCGAATCTGACCCCTGAATTCTGGGTCACCGTTTTTTTTTAATGCCATCCGGAATAAGGTCGGCCAACGCCATCGGCTGCTTGTCACCACTTTTTGTGCCGTCTGAAGTATGGTCTGGCGACACTCAATCCTGAAACGTGCCGAGTGCATTCGGGATGCCCAGATCGAAGTGCCAGCACAAAGATACTGCCACCGGGCAGTTTGCTTCTGAAGAGGGCTTTCACCTATATCGGGGTTTGAAAGGAACCCAAGAGGATAAACCAATTCTGAGACACATATTGCCCCCTAAACTATCTATCCCCTTTCCGAGTGAGGCCTTCCTTTTGCAAGCTCCCCGCCATATCCCAGGCTCGCTCGCTCGACCGCCTTGAGGTGTCGGTGCGTTACGGGGGGGCGGCTCGCGGAGAGGCGCGGAGCTGCGGAAGTGGGCGACGCCACGCTCTGCCTCGCCAGTTGCTACCTTTTGGTTTGGGAATCCCAAGGAGAAGGCAGAAGTGAAGCGGTGGGATTCTCAACCTGACAGATGTTGAGCTATTTCCGAGGGTTGCGAAAAGGTCCTACGGAGCCCCAACGAATCGTCCGGGCCAACCTAAGGGGCGGTGCCTGAGCCAACGGGGTGACGTCCGCAAAGCCAAGTGGAAAGTCCGGCGACAGCAGCCTTGCCAGCTGATGGGTTGTAGACACCTTTGAGTCCTTGTTGGCGGTTTTAAGCATCAATTCTTTGGCCAATTTGAGGCGCGTTTATTCAAATGGATTTGGGAGAGGGGGGCCCCCCCCTGGAGATCTCTATTAGTCCATGGAAGACTAGATAAATGGAATGGGTGGACCCCCCGCACGTTCGTTGAACTCAACGGTTGTTCACGAATGACAACTTGTCTGGTTTCCTTTAAACCACCATCCAAAAGGATTTGTCCATGGGATGGAAAGGGCGGAGATGGCTTTGAGCCAGCGAAGGTTTTTGCTGTCTCAGGTCTGGCGTCGGTTGCGCCTTTGTGTTTCCTATACTCCGCCCTTCTTTGCAAGGGGACTAAAACTCTCCCGGTCAGCAAACCCACCATGGGAGGGATTCGAATCCCCTCGTGCTGTTGAACATCATCCTTAACTAAACCTATCCCCATGAATATGCTTCTCTTTGCTTCCCTAGGCCATCCGAAGGAAAGCAACACCTCCGTTGCCCCCTGAAACCCAGCCCCACATTCTCGAAGAGCCAAGGACTTGGGTGTATCCCTGGACGAGCGACCGGGAGCTCTGCAAGGAAAAAAACGGAAACAATGGAGCAAACAAAAATGGAGCCCAACACGTGGCACCTGGGGTAGACTTAGGATACAAAAAAAACAGTGACTCGAAGTGAAGCAAACAATAAAGTGACTCATTCTATTACTGGGCCTAACTCTAATCATGGCACCCTATGTTGAAACAAAGTCCAGACCCCGCGTAACCCCAGCTGCTTATTGTTGAGCCCACATACCGACCTGTACAGGCGTTAGGGGAACCCCATAGAAAGGACCGGGTCGTTTTGGGTAGACCCTCAAGAATGGAGACACCCGTATGATAAACTAATTTGCTCCTTTTTAGACTCTGCCAGAAAAAAAGAAGAACAACAAAAACACTTTTACAGACCCCGGTTTCCGGTCTGGACAACTAGTTAGAATTCTTTAGTCTCCCACAAAGGGTCTCTGCTCAACATGGCCCAAAAAAGGCAAAGAAGGTTTGGCCATCCCTGGTTTGGTGGTTTGCTGATTTGTTGTTCTCATCAACTCTGAGAGTCCGACTATTTTTTTAAGGGTTGATTGTGGCTGGAAAGCGCTCTTCTCCAAGCGCTCTTCTCCAAGCAGGCCGGGAAATCCAGTTTGGGCGGATTTCCCAATGCTTCCATTTGCCCCTTTGGCTAAGAGCATGCTTATTTTCCCCTGTTAATTTTGAAAGGGAATCAATCAATTTCACTACTGGACTTTTTTTTTATATGTTTTTTCCAGGGGACTTCTCAGCAAATGGAGGCTAGGTCCCCCAGTAGCGCCCTTTTACCCCTTCTTTGGGGGAGGGCTCCGCTACTAAAATAGGCTGCAGGAAAAAAACCATCGGGTACCACCTGATTCTATCCTCTCAAATCTGCAGAGCCCAGGAGGAACGGAGAAAAAAAAAAAAACGCCGTCCAGCCGCCCGGGGGTTTTATCCGCGGCGCCGCGGCCAGGCCGCGGCGCGCTGCGGGGAGCCGGGCTCGGAGTGCGCGCTGGAGCTGACGCTTCCGGAGGCGTGGGTAAGAACTGGGGAGCTGAGGCAGGGCTCCTTGAGAGATCTCCATTTTGCAACCAGTTGAAAGATGGTTTTCTTTTTCAACACCAAAGTAAAGGGGTTTAATTACCACCATTTACCAGTTGCAATGCTCAGGTGTATAATGTGAGGATCCCTGTGAGGTTAGTTTCCGTTTTCCATGGTGACCTACTTTAAGTGGGACACCCGGGAAAAAAGAGAGAGAGAGAGCAAAAAGCAACATGGAAGGCCGAACCTAGCCGAGGGGTCCGTCTTTTTGGTTCTTGGGGCCGTGTTGCCCAGGTCCAGAAACACCTCCAGAATCTCTAAGTTCGATCTGAATTGGACGGAGCATTTGGCATGGGTCGCCGATTTCAAGCAACGAGATGCTTTGGCTTCCTGTAGGTGTCCCGTGCCCGGCAAAAGGCATCCTCACCCACGGACCCCGGACCCTCGGACCCTCGAACCCTCGGACCCTCCCCCCATCTCCCCCCCCCCCACCAACCCCCATCTCCCCCCCCCCAACCCCCAACCCGCCCCCCCCCCCCCCCCCCCGTGCCTTGGACGCTTGGCGTCCATGCGGCAAATGACGTGTTTTGCTCAGTGGTACGTTGCATGTCCGGCCCAATCGGACTTCTCGCACGGATCGGACAACTTGGACGTGCTGAACGGACGAGCGCGGACGGCTCGGCTGGATCGGATGACGCTGACGGTCGGGCGGCTCAGATGCAGCGGACGGATCGGACGGCTCGCACGGAGGCTTTGATGGTTCGGACAGCTCACAAGTTTGGATGGCGGGACGGGTCGCGCTGCGGACGGCTTGAACGACTTGGATGGTTTTGACGGTCTGCGCAGTTGAAAAGCTTGGACGGCTCGCACGGCGCGGAGAGCTTGGTCGGTTTGGACGGCCGGACAGTTCGGACGGATTGGACAGACAGATCGGACGGCTCCGACGGCTCGCACAGCTCGGACGGTTCGCGCGGCGGGTCGGGCGGATCGCACAGATCGGATTGATCGGGCAGATGAACGCGGCGCGTCCCGGAGAGGCACGCTCGTTGCTCTTCAAGGTGAGGGCAAATGAGCGGGCTCAGCTGGCTCCCCTTGGACCGTATAAATGAGCGCCCCGGAGAGGCCGCCTCGGCTGGACGGCTCGGACACGGACGCCTCAGGTCGGACAGCTCGGACGGATCGGACTGGTCGGACAGCTCGGACTCGGATCAGATTCGGACGGCTCGGACACGGACAGCTCGGCTCGGACAGCTCGGTCGGATCGGACTGGTCGGACAGCTCGGACTTGGATGGTTTGGAAAACCTTGAGTGTGAAATTCGGCGAGCAAGGCCCCACCTTGCAAAACCTTGAGCGTCTATTTGGCGAGCTTCCCTTTCTAAGGATTGACTTTTGAAAGGAGCCTCCTTTTCCAAATAAACCTCAAGTGTCCATCTTCCCCCCCCCCCCCCCCCGGTGAGCTAGTCCGGGGCTTCGAGTCTTCCCCTCAGCTTGCCAGGCCTTGCACGCGCCCATCCACCTTCTGTACCACCTGCACCCGCGCCTTGCTGCGACAGACGCGATCCGCATGACCCGTTTTTGTTTTTTTTTTGTGTTTTTTTTTGGGGGGAGGGGTTTTGCTTTTGTTGTTTTTGTTGTGTTTATTTTTTGTTGGGGGGGGGATGTTTAGTGTTAACACCCCCTACCTGAGCTCAGCAAAGCAGGATCGCAATGGATTCGATGCCCATGCGTTTCTTGATTGGGGCAAAATCGGGAAAAATCTGCGCGCCGCGGAAGCGAGGTTCTACCAGAACTATCCGAACTACATCCAGTCAGGCAGGGCTCGTCGCGCGTGAGCCAGATGGGCCAGGGGATGGGGCGACCCCTTTTCGCCATTTCTGCAGGTGGTTCTACCCGGCCAAAAATCGCCTGGCGGGGGGAGGGGGGGCGGCTGTTATAGCAAGGCAGGCATGAATTTGTATAACCAGCATGGGTTTTGGCCGCTGCTCAGTTGTCTACACCGCCTCTTTTTGCTTCCCCTTACGGAGGACCGGTCTTTGGACATGGTTAAAGCTAGTCAGTCAGAGGGCTGGTTAAATTGCCCATTGGTTGTTCTAAATCGGTGGACATTCAGACATCCCCCAATGTCCAAATAGGATTAACACATGCACGTGGAATAAAGACAAATGGGGGGGCCAAAAAAATACATCCAGCTGGAATGAAGACAAGCACCCGCCACCCGCACCCAAACTTTTCCCTCAAATTTAAAAAATGAAAGCAAGAAGGAGAAAACGGAGAGGAGAGGTAGCCAACCCAACACCTCGTCCTTGGATCTTTGGCAACTTGTTCTTCAGTGCTCCAAATTCAACATGTCCAGCTTCCCCAGAAGTCATGTGTTCTTGCATGTCTCTCGCTTAAACCCTGCCCACAATCAAAGCCACAAAGGGGGTCGTACTTCAGCCCCCAATTTGACATTATTTCAGGGGCCCCCGAAATAACGTCTTGTTGCCTGGCCCCCTGAAAACTACAACCTGCCCAGTGCAATTGCCTCTTGGCCAGTTAAGTAATTAGACAGCCCAGGTGATGGCAATCCTTCATGCTTTGTTGTTGGATTTGGGCCTGCTCCTCAAATCCAGATTTGTCAGCTTTACCACACCCATGGTTTCTTACATGTCTCTTGTTTAAAACCTGCCCACAATCAAAGCCACAAAGGGGGTAGTACTTCAGCCCCCAATTTGACATTATTTCAGGGGCCCCGAAATAACGTCTTGTTGCCTAGCCCCCTGAAAACTACAACCTGCCCAGTGCAATTGCCTGCCCAGGTGAGGCTGGCAATCCTTCATGCTTTGTTGTTGGATTTGGGCCTGCTCCTCAAATTCAACATTGTCAGCTTTACCAAACCCATTTTTTCTTACATGTCTCTTGTTTAAAACCTGCCCACAATCAAAGCCACAAAGGGGGCAGTACTTCAGCCCCAATTCGACATGGTTTCAGGGGCCCCCGAAGTAAAGTCCTGTTGCCTAGCCCCCCCAAGAAAAAGGAAAAGGAAGGTGCACCAATGCTATATAAATCAAATGGAAACTCAGTTCCAAATCTCAAAAGGAAGCTCCAGCAATACTACATCGAATGGAAACTCAAGTCTACCAATACTAAATCAAATGGAAACTCAGTTCCAAATCTCAAAAGGAAGCTCCAGCAATACTACATCGAATGGAAACTCAAGTCTGCAAATACTAAATTAAATGGAAACTCAGTTCCAAATCTCAAAAGGAAGCTCCAGCAATACTACATCGAATGGAAACTCAACTCTACAAACACTAAGTTAAAGTGAAACTCAGTTCCAAAAAGACTTGTCACATCTCGCGGAATCATGATCACTCTGAGCGGAAAAGGTTTCACTTTTCACTGCTTACGGAAGTGAAACTGTCACTGCTTGCGGAAGTGAAGCCACTACACGCGGAAAAGTATAGGGGTAGGAAGCTCCTTCCTTTCTAAGGCTCCTTTCTAAGGCTCCTTTCTAAGGCTCCTTTCTAAGGCTCCTTTCTAAGGCTTCTTTCTAAGGCTCCTTTCTAAGGAGGCTCCTTTTCTAAGGCTCCTTTCTTTGGCTCCTTTCTAAGGCTCCTTTCTAAGGCTCCTTTCTACGGCTCCTCCTTTCTAAGGCTCCTTTCTCAGGCTCCTTTCTAAGGCTCCTTTCTAAGGCTCCTTTCTAAGGCTCCTTTCTCAGGCTCCTTTCCAAGGCTCCTTTCTAAGGCTCCTTTTTAAGGCTCCTTTCTAAGGCTCCTTTCTAAGGCTCCTTTCTAAGGCTCCTTTCTAAGGCTCCTTTCTAAGGCTCCTTTCTAAGGCTCCTTTCTAAGGCTCTTTGGAGGGATTGGCAGGAGGGATTGGCCGGGGATCCGCTTTTCGAGCTGGAATGCCGGATTCCAGCCTACGGCTCCTTTCTGAGGCTCCTTTCTAAGGCTCCTTTCTAACA